ATTTATAGCTCTAGTGCATCCGTTGCATGGCAATCCCTACTCACTCACATTGATATCAATTGATGGGCATCTCCCTAGCCCATTGATTAGCCGCTTCGATGTGAGACTTTCTCTTTTTTGTCTTCTCCACAAAACCCCCTTATTATATTCTATTCCAACCATAGTGCTATATCCATGGCTCACGCTCATGTATTGCGTGAAAGTTGAAAAAAGTTTGAGATTACTAAAGTATGAAACAATTGCTTGGCTTGTCATCAGGGTTGTGCATGATGAGAGCATTCTTGTGTGATGAAAATGGTGCATGACCAAACTATATGATTTTGTAGGGATGAACATTCTTTTGCCATGTTATTTTGAAGAGACATAATTGCTTAGTTAGTATGCTTGAAGTATTATTATTTCTATGTCAATATTAAACTTTTGTCTTGAATCTTATGGATCTGAATATTCTTGCCACAATAAAGAAGAATTACTTAGAGAAATATGTTAGGTAGCATTCCACATCAAAAATTCTATTTTTATCATTTACCTACTCGAGGACGAACAGGAATTAAGCTTGGGGATGCTGATACGTCTCCAACGTATCTATAATTTTTGATTGTTCCATGCTATTATATTATCTATTTTGGATGTTTATGGGCTTTATTATATACTTTTATATTATTTTTAGGACTAACCTATTAACCCAGAGCCCAGTGTCAATTTCTGTTTTTTCCTTGTTTTACAGTATCGTAGAAAAGGAAAATCAAACAGAGTCCAATTGACCTGAAACTTCACGGAACTTATTTTTAGACCAGAAGAAGCCCACGGAGTATCAGAGATGCACCAGGAGAGTCCCGGGCTGCCCACGAGGGTGGGGGGCGCACCCCCTGCCTCGTGGACAGCCCGGAGGTCCACCGACGTACTTCTTCCTCCCATATATACCCATATACCCTAAAAACTTCGGAGAGCACAATAGATCGGGAGTTCCGCCGCCAGAAGCCTCCGTAGCCACCGAAAACCAATCTAGACCCGTTCTGGCACCCTGCCGGAGGGGGGAATCCCTCTGCGGTGGCCATCTTCATCATCCCGACGCTCTCCATGACGAGGAGGGAGTAGTTCTCCCTCGGGGCTGAGGGTATGTACCAGTAGCTATGTGCTTGATCTCTCTCTCTCTCTCTCTCTCTATCGTGTTCTTGAGGTGATACGATCTTGATGTATCGCGAGCTTTGCTATTATAGTTGGATCTTATGATGTTTCCCCCCTCTACTCTCTTGTAATGGATTGAGTTTTCCCTTTGAAGTTATCTTATCGGATTGAGTCTTTAAGGATTTGAGAACACTTGATGTATGTCTTGCGTGGGATACCCGTGGTGACAATGCGGTATTCTATTGATCCACTTGATGTGTGTTTTGGTGATCAACTTGCGGGTTCCGTGACCTTGGGAATCTTTGCATAGGGGTTGGCACACGTTCTCATCTTGACTCTCCGATAGAAACTTTGGGGCACTCTTTGAGGTCCCATGTGTTGGTTAAATAGATGAATATGAGATTGTGTGATGCATATCGTATAATCATACCCACGGATACTTGAGGTGACATTGGAGTATCTAGGTGACATTAGGGTTTTGGTTGATTTGTATCTTAAGGTGTTATTCTAGTACGAACTCTAGGGCTGTTTGTGACACTTATAGGAATAGCCCAGCAGATTGATTGGAAAGAATAACTTTGAGGTGGTTTCGTACCCTACCATAATCTCTTCGTTTATTCTCTGCTATTAGTGACTTTGGAGTGACTCTTTGTTGCATGTTGAGGGATAGTTATGTGATCCAATTATGTTATTATTGTTGAGGGAACTTGCACTAGTGAAAGTATGAACCCTAGGCCTTGTTTCAACGCATTGCAATACCGTTTGTGCTCACTTTTATCATTAGTTACCTTGCTGTTTTTATATTTTCAGATTACAAAAACCTTTATCTACTATCCATATACCACTTGTATCACCATCTCTTCGCCGAACTAGTGCGCCTATACAATTTACCATTGTATTGGGTCTGTTGGGGACACAAGAGACTATTTGTTATTTGGTTGCAGGGTTGCTTGAGAGAGACCATCTTCATCCTACGCCTCCTACGGATTGATAAACCTTAGGTCATCCACTTGAGGGAAATTTTCTACTGTCCTACAAACCTCTGCACTTGGAGGCCCAACAACGTCTACAAGAAGAAGGTTGTGTAGTGGACATCAACCTCCCGCGCGACAAGTACAACTTGAGCGACATCTTCAACGTCAAAGATCTCTCACCCTTCCATGGTGATGAAGAATTTGATCCGAGGATGGATCTTCCCCAAGGGAGGGGAGATGATGTGGAGCATCCCACGGCCATCCCAATGGACCCACCTACATCTCCTACGACACCTCTCTGACCCATGACACGAGCACATGCAAGAGCTCTTGAAACCGAGGTGACATCTCTCCTCTCACATTTCCACTTCGATGCACATGAGACATGGCTACTACCTCATATGGACACATTGTGCATACTCAGGTATCATGGAGAAGCTAATGAGCTAGGAGAAGAAGAAGAGGAAGATGGACGTGAAGACGGAGAAGAAGGAGGAATGCAGGAAAAGTCCAAGCCACCGGACGACCGGGCGGGGCCGGAAGTCCGGCGCCTGAAGCCCCAGCTGAGCCCCAGCGAGTGGATGTCCGGTCCAGACCGGACGACCGGTGCCCCTGCACCCGAGCCGAATGAGCGGACGTCCGACGCCTCCGGACGTCCGGTGACCGGACGACCGGCCCAGCCCGGAAATCCGTCACTTCAGCACCCGAGCCAAAACAAGCGGACGACCGACACTTACCAGACGTCCGGCCGCCCGTGAACCACCGGACGTCCGGCCCCTGTCTGTGCATAGGATTCAGGCCCGAGGCCCATGTACCCCCCACTTCGCCCCCTTTTTGCACTAAGACTATAAATAGACCTCCTATTCCTCCTAGCTAGGGTTAGCATTGGTTTAGCTCATATTTAGAGATAGAGCATTGCTCATCCACATCGGATCTACTCCACGAGAGAGACCGCGGCCCCTCTTCGGAGAAGATCCCTTTGGATTCAAGACCCCTCTAAGGGAAGATCCCCTCGTGGATTCAAGACCTCCTCACGGAGAAGACCGGCTACCTTTGTATCGTCCGTTGTTGACTTTGGATCTTGTATCTCCTATCGTGTTTCGAGGATCTAGCACTTGTATGATCATTCTTGTTGGTTTGAGTGTTCTCTTGTGTTCCCCTTGTGATTTCCCCTCGTTTCCCTCCTCGTGTTCTTTGTGTTCATCGCGGGATCCGCTCCTTTCGTGAAAGATCGGCCGATTAGGGTTCCTACCCTACATCACAGCCCGACAAGGCTTGTATATTAGACGTGCTTGGTGTAACGTGCCTGGCCTATTTAGGATGGGTCGTGCCGAGCCTGGCCGGGCCGGGCCATCTAGCCAGGTTTGGTATGTATTCATATTTGGTGGACTCTTTTTCTAGGACTCTTTGATTCGTGTCAAGTTAATCTTTTAGTAGCCTCAAAAAATAAATTGTTCTTGCAGAGGTAGACTATGATGTCATCGATTATGATAATTTTATTAATCTTGAAATTATGGTTTTAGTTTCTTGAATATGCTCATAAAATAAGGTGTGTGTGAGGTAACTACACAAAATAACCACATTTAGGGCAAGGTAAACCGCTTAGGGATCTCCAACGTCGTACCAAATGCAACCTCCATGGACACGTTTGGACGTGTCCGCGGACATTAGATATGAAGACGGTCATCCAACTCTATGCATGAAATATCCACTCACATTTCAAACGAATATTTAAGCAAACGATCAAAATTCAGCAAGTTTAATATATTACATGCAAACCATATGCTATTTAATAAGTTCAATTAAATAAAAAACTAAACTGAACTGTTGGTCGTGAATTCGGGACCACATCACCCGCCCTTGCCCTTCTCTTTGCCGACGAGGGCAAGGGCGTGCGCACTCGGACTCAACCAACCCTATCTTATAGAGTTGGTCGATGATCCTGCGCCGATGAAGGGAAGGATGTCCGCTTAGTGGTCCTGAACTGATCCTTCGCACCGGTCAACGCTAGGTTTGGGTTAGCGCACACCCAGTTTGGCGCCACGTCTGACTTGCGAAAGCCGAACAACACGCCACGTCGCACCGCTTCCGGCGCTCCTCCTTGGCGGTCACCTTGTCGACTGTCATCCTCGTGCGCGAGGAGGAGGTGTCGCCGCCACTATCGAGTTAGTAGACGAGGCAACTGCATGCGTTGGCAATCCTCGGGGTAGGGGTTGCCTCCTCCTTCATGTTCGCCGCATGCCACTGGGGCGGGGATGGCGGTGCCACCTCCTTGCCACATGCCACCATGGTGGAGATGTCGACTCCATTTTGACGCGTCGGCGTGGCGAGGATGCTGGCTCCTCCTTGAAGTGATGGTGCGGCGGGAAGGGTGACTCATCCTTGACGTGGCTATCGCGCGATGGCCACGGATGCTGTCACGGAGCGGGCGCTTGAGCATCAACTCAATCTGTCTTGTGACTCTTTATCGATCCGCGTGGCCTCGACGAGGAGGTGTGCATGCTGCTCCTCCTTGTCGAAGGAGGAGAGCACCACCTCCTCCTTGATCGTGGGTGTCGATGATGTGGTGGACGCCGACGGGCCCGACGAGCGTCGGCGTCGACGCGATGATCTAGGCGACCGAGAGGATCCGCCTACCGAACTTGCCCATTTATATTTTAATCCTTTCATTATGAGATTTCATGTAACATTGATGTTTGATTAATATAGACCCATGGCTCATTCGCAAGAAAAAAGTCTAATCTGATGGTTGTGAAAAGCTTTGTCGTGTGATATAACAAACTGTTGGACAAAAAAACTAAGTTTATATCGTAGAAAGGGAAAATGAAATCGGGATAACGTGGGGAATAAACAGTCGACGGCCAGGGATCCTGGCGCCAAGAGCTCGCCGCCCCTGCAATGGCGACCACCGCCAACCCCACCACCGACCTCTTCTCACGCCTCTCCTTTCGCCGCGCCGTCTCCCCCTCCCCACTCCGCCTCCCCTCCTTGCCGACCCCTTCGCCGCGCGTCTCCGTCGCCATCGTCGCCCTCCACAAGCGCAACCCCAAGCGCCTCAAGTACGACTCCCAGCGCCAGTTCACGGTACGCCCCCACCCCCCAATGCTCTCGCACGTTTCCTACTTCCGGATTCCTGGAGATAAAGTAACGGATCCTTTTCCGGCGACTGGTTTGGCCCGCGCGCGCAAAGAGAGGGGATGGCGGGATGCTGCGGGTGCAGGTGGAACCCTCCGGCGAGGACTTCTGGAAGCTGGACCCCGTCGTCGACCTCATAAACAGCGGCGCCGTCGGCGTCATCCCAACCGACACCGTGTATGATATTCAATGCTTTCCCTTCACTTGACCTTGTGCTCGTCCTGGAACAACCTGACAGCTTATCCCGGGACCGGCCGGGCCTGCCATTGGTTAGGGAGCAAGGAAATGCACCGTGCGCACTGCATTTCTCGTTGCAGTTGATGCTCGGTGCGTGCAGAGTACCGTGTAAATTGAAGCACGGTTGGGTGATAACTCGTGTAAACAGCCATCTCAGTATTTGTGCTCATATCATCTACAAAGTGTTTTGGTTGCATAGGCAGCTTAGTTTTTGCTGAAGCTGATTTTGGATTACTGATGAGTAGCATTTTGTTTGTATGTCCATCTCATTACCTATGTGTCTGCACATGTTCTCAGAGATCTAAGCAAGTCCTCAAGCTTTCTGATTTTATTTGGACAATGCGCTGTGCTGAGCACAAATAATAACACAGTTAAAAAACACAAATAATAACAAATTCCATTTTTTACAGCTACTCCATTGTTTGTGATCTGAGTAACAATGACTCTATTGAGCGCCTCCGCAGGTACAATCATTCATCTGGTTGGTCAGTATAATAATTCTTATTTATTTGCTGTCTTAGACATGAAGTAAACCAACACAGATCTAATTGGCACTATCTGTTTTTTTTCTCATGCAGAATCAAAGGCATTGTAAATTCAAAGGCAAGATGTGCAAGAGAGCAATAAGTCCTCCTTTCTTATGAAGCTTACTCTGGAGCAAGGCACACCTACCAACCACACTTTCATTTTTGCAAATGCACTCTATTCTTATACCAATTTTGAATAATGCAGCCTCTCAGCATCTTGTGCCGCTCATTGCGAGATATTGATACCTACACAACAGGATTTCCTCTAGGTACCAACCAAGGGCAAGCTAACATTTTCCGTGCTGTCAAGCGTATATTACCAGGACCTGTAAGGATATCTGCCTCTTCAAGATCGACCACCATCTTGTACTTCACAACTAACGTCTATTTAATCATGTGCAGTACACCTTTATTCTACCTGCGACTAAGGAATTGCCCAAGCAATGCATCAAGCATGGGTCATCTACTAGATACGCAAAAAGGAGGCAGGTTGGTGTTCGAATGCCAGATGATCCCATATGTCAAGCAATACTGCAAAATCTGGAAGAACCGTTGATCTGCACAAGGTTGGTTGTAGGCTCATATACCTTCAGTTTTCTTTATTTATTTCTTGCTTCTGATGTGTCTTTTAATCATTGTACTCTGTTGTGCTGGCATGTACGAGCAGTAAGAATATTGAGTTATATAAGCTACATGCCTCTCTGTTTTGGTCTTCCTACACGAAGGAGATATTTTACTTGAGCTTAGGTTAAAAATCTTCAATTACTATTCATTTTGTTGCCAGGATTTGTAGTTATTCTCCTCTTTTCTCCTTTATTTACAGTGTCAAATATCTGGCAGAGGATGAATGGATACTTGATCCAGTAACCATTGCCGATATTTATGAGCCACTGGTATGTTCCTTCTTTTTACTAGTGCACCAGAAATCTGCTTACAGCGACTTCACAAAGGCTTTTTTTTTGTATAAGCATTGTAAAAAATTTCACTGGTCTGTATTGTTCTCTAGAGTGACAGTTACTTTTCATGTTGAGAATCCCAGGTCATATTTTGTGTTACCATTTCTATCATGCATTATAATTTACAGTCAAATGACTGTATGGTGAGTGGTGAATAGTACCTGCTCAGGCCTAGGGAACTAAGTGAAGCAAAAAGGCATAACTAAACAAAATTGTCTGACAGATGACTCTTTCAGTTTTTGACAAAGGGCATATTAAGCTAGTTTTTCTTCTGATATGCATGCAATATTGTGATGGCTTCCATCAAGTGGTTAGTTAAACAATTACGGAATGCTCCCTCCGTCCACAAATATAAGATGTTCTAACTTTTTTCTTAGTCGGATGTATATAGACACGTTTAAGTGTGTTTGTTCACTCATTTCAGTCTGTATGTAGTACATACTGAAATATCCAGAACATCTTATATTTGTAAACGGAGGGAGTAGTTAACATCCGTTAGCTGCTTTTATGTGTAGCTGTGTTACTAGTCATTTCGTAGCACAAGAGTACGTGTGAAATAGATGGCTTCAAGAGCATGACATGCTCAAATGTTTCAAATTTCAGGGACTCGATTTCATCGTTGATGGCGGTGCTAGAATTGCTGATCCATCTACTGTCGTTGACATGACTGGAAGTTATCCTACCATTATTCGGCAGGGAAAGGTATGCAACCGCATATTCTAATGAACTACCATGACCCGTAATTCAAAGCTTAACCTCCTGTCTATGAATATATTCCAGTGTATCATAGCGTAGTCCTGGAAAACCATGAAATCCTGCATTTTGTTGATGCTTGGCTAGCACTTGGATACACCAAAATGTGCTGAGCTGTATCTCAGTCATTTATACGAGGCCTCTACGTCTCATACTTGAGTCCTCCTGTTACATCTTTGATGTCATGCATGGTCGTCCGGCCTATGAAGATTCTGCTACGATTTAACTATGCACTTAATATTTCTTTTGCTTTAGGGTGCAAAGCTTGATTGGATGGTAACAGGCACAGACCAAGAGGCGCAGTCAACCTATTCTCGTAAAGCAGCTTGAAACGTTGCCCTGCTAACCTACGCTATGAGTTGTAAGTAGGAGTGGTCATGCCGGTTTCTTCGAACCGCTGAAAAGTAGTTAATGTCTACTTTGTATATCAGTTCAAGACCTTCCGTTAAATGCGTTGCACTAGTCACTGTCTTCCCATGGTTTGAGGATAACTGATTTTGAACACTACCCCAAGTTGTATACAGATCTCAATTCTATGTACCCCGCATCGGCAAAGTCTTCTTCTACCAGCACTTGTGTGAGCCAAAGAGGCCAAGGCGTGCCGCCATCATCACTCATTCCTTACCAGAGCTGGAGACGCGCGCACACGCACGCACGCACGCACACTAAGCAATTGGGCCTAAGATAAAATTCAACTTTTATCGAACGAAGTGTACTATCTAGACACCTCACGCGGTCGCCACCTCCTCGCCCAAAAAAGATTTGGGTTCCTCTGCCTTTTGTTAGCGCCGCCGCTTGTCCGCCTCGTCTCCGATGGTCTTAGGGTCATGAGGGCATGGTGGATCTCGGACCTTGCCGAGGGAAGGACTCCTTTTTTTATGTCTTTTAAAGTATTGTTAGGGTTTGTGTCCTGCTCAGGAAGCGGCGGCTCTTTAAAGATGGAATAAGGTTCTCTGCGCCTAGCTCTTATTTCGGTGATGTGTCTATCATCATCAGCGGGCGTGTCGAGGTGTTTCTCCGATGGATCTATCTTTGGTGGACCTACTCGGATCTGGTCGTCCTTCATCTATGTTTGTGTGTCTTCAAGTTTAATCTTTTCGATCTACGCTACTCTTCATCGGCGGCGGTTGTTATTCCGGTACACTGATTTTATTAGGTCTTATCACGAAGACTTCCTGATTGTCTACTATAATAAGTTCTGTCCGACTTCGGCAAGGGAGGAGTGATGACGGCGACGCGTCTCGGCTCGCTTCAGTGCTTGTAGTCGTTGCTAGGTGGTCTATGAATCTGAATGTAATTTCTATTATTTCTGCCATGATTGAAGATGGATAGATTAAAAGTTTTTCTAAAATATCAACTTTTTTGTGTTGTAGAAAATGTTTTTTTAATGGGCACAAAGGTGCCCGGTCACCGTTGGTAATTTTCGCTCACAACCTCGCAAGCAGACAACAGATAGCTTAGTAGCTTAGTAGCAAGCACAATCTCAGGATCAACTCGATCTACCTGCGCCTGCTGCCTAGCTTAGTAGCTTAGCCTTTTCCGTTCCTAAAACGAGAGGTCGACGGGACGACAAGTGCTTACTGCCGCATCGATTAGCAGCTTATAAATTACCTACAGTGCAGTGACACATGCACACAACTCACCCTCCCTGGTCGGTCTAGACTCTAGAGCTAGGAAATTGGTGGCGTTGCTTTTCCAGGGCGCGCACTGTTGCCGCCAGCAATGGGGAGTCGGGCACGCAAGCGGCCGGGGTCCGGAGAGAAGGACGGCGACGGCGGCCGATCAATGGCCACATATATCGCCGGGATCTCTAGTCAAGGTGGTTTGTTTTCATCAGCTTTTGCTGTTGTGTCACCATCGCACGCGCCAACAAGATTGCCAACAAAGGACACGTCTGTCTGAGATAATCGAGCTTTGTTCGAGTTGTTGGTGTCAGCAAGTACCAAGATCTGTAACAACGCGGTTTGGATGATGTAGCGTGATTCGACCCCGTGATAGATTGTTCTTGTTTGTCACCCTCTAGGTTTTTGTGTTAGCTTTTTTTCAAAAAAAAAAATCGATCCATTCAACAAGCAAGGTAGTACAAAGAACAATAAAAGTAAAAATAAACCACCTAGCAACGACTACAAACACTGTAGCGAGCCACAGACGCGTCACCGTCATTGTCCGTTCCTCACCGGAGCCGAGCAAATCTTGTTATAGTAAACAGTCAGGAAGTCATCGTGCTAAGGCCCTACAGGACCATCGCACGAGAACAACAATCGTTGTCGATGAAGAGAAGTAGACACACGACCACTAACGAACGAAAACCAGGTCCACATGGATCTACCGAAGACAAATAGTAGAATTGTATTGAATAATTGTTGATGCAATATTGTGTCGGTACAAGAAGTATATATAAGAGCCAAGCCGCAAGTGACGCCCGGGTAATCAAGCTACAGTAACCTTTGCTAATGATGCCACGTCACCTCGATTACTGTTGCTAATCTCGCGTTAGTTCAAAAACGGTTCGATTTCAAATTCAAAATCAAGCAAACATTAAAGTTATCAAATATTAAAACTAAAATGTTCGGGGTGATTCAAATAATCCATATTAAATATTGGTGAAGAAACCCCACTGTTATAAAATCTTTAAATACTCTAAAGCGAATAAAACAGTAGCAAAACAATTATTGAAATGCCTTTTATAATTAATAAAATGTTAAGCTATCCTATTTAGGGACTAAACTTTATATGGTAGTGGGTTTAGTGGTAGTACTAATTTAGGGGTCATTTTGTACTTTACAAAGCTAAAATTAAGGAGGAACAAAGTAAAACAGAAAAGAAACAAAATACATAAAAGAAAATTAAACAAAAAAACAAAAAAGGGCCTCGTGGCCAACTGGACCTCGGCCCAGCCAGTGACCCAGCTGGTCCCAGCCGCCCGAATGGGCCGGCCCACCCCGCGCCCTAGCCTACTAATCCCCCCCACGATCGAAACCCTAACCTACCCCCACCCCCGCTCTCCCCACGACGCCCCCTCCTCTCTCCCGATCTGGATTGGGATCCAGAGGAGGCCGACGCCGCTCGACGCCGCCCCGCGCCCGGAGCTCGCCGCCCCCCCACGCCAGGACGCCGCCACCTCGCCGTCC